CCTGGGGTGATGGGGATCCTGGGGTGCCTGGGGTCCTGGGGTGATGGGGATCCTGGGGTCCCGGGGTGCCGGGGTTCGCCTGGGAACGTGACCACGTCGCCCCCGGCATACAGCTCGGGCACGCGTGCACGCGGACCTATCGTCTCGCGCGCGTTTGAGCGCCACGACGCGCCCAGCCTGCCCCCTTCGGGGCGCGGGGAACGAGCACAGGCCCCGATCTCCCGGGGAGAGCCCAGGTGGGACGGCGCCCGCGCTCGGCTCGGCCCTCAGCGGCCCTCGGCGGCGCGGCGGCCGCAACAGTCAGGTATGCCAGTCACGAGACGGCCCGGAGGAGCGCGCGCCCGGACCTCGGCGACGTCACGCCTGGGGGCGGGGCTCGGGGGGGCGGCTAGCGTGAGGGATGTGACTTCGGCCAATGAGAGCAGAGATCGCGCGAGGGCGGGAGCAGATTGCCGCGCGCCACGTCGCGGTTGGCCAGAGCGCTGGGAGAGGCCCGCCCACTCCGGTCGGTGAAGGGCCGGGAGGGCGGCGCCCGGGCCGCGGTAGCGGCGGCCCCTCAGGTAAACGGCGGCGGGGGGACGCGCTTTCGCCGGTTCCGGGGACGCGCCCTCGGGAAGGCTCGGCCTCGGAGAGCCCGGGAACTGCTGCTCTTGCCGAGCTGCACGGGAAGTCGAGTCCGGGGCGCTTCTCCAAGGTCAGCGGGCCAGCTCCCGGAGGTCCCGGGAGTCTTGGCCGGGGCCCGCCCTTCCCTTGGCTCCGGTGCGCCCAGAGCTTCGGGGCGGAACGGGCCGCGCCACACCCGGAAGGGAGACCCCGTTCCGCCCGTGTGCGCGGCCCGGGTCCTCGGCCCTGCCTCGCGGGGCGCGGGACCCCGGCCCCCCGGAGCCCGCTGGGCCCCGCGCCCCACCCCCGCTCTGGGGTGCGGGGTCCCGGAGGCCTGGTCGTCCCCAGGCCCCTTCCTCGCGCCCGTTTGCGGGGTCCACGGGCTCCTCTCTGCGAGAAGGTCAGCCAGACCCTGGAAGTTGGAAAGCCAGGGCCGCCGTGCTCAGTGAAAGATCGATCCTGGGCGAAGTTATCCCGAGAGCCGCGGACGCCCTTGGGGATGCTAGCGCAGGCCCGAGGCTGTGCTGAACCGAGCCGCCTTCTGGCTAGCTGCGGCTGCAGGGCTGCTCCCAGGGCTCCATTCTGCACACTTCAGGATCACTTTGCCCGCTCGGGTTGGGGAGGGACCCCTGAAGTCACGTACAGGACCGAAGGGCTGCCCTGGGAATGTGACCCGGAGCAGCTTTTGCAGTGTAGGTGGGCTTTGGGGGCTAGTGTGGGAGGCAGGAACACCTGGGCAGTGGATGATGGTAGAAGTGGAGAAGCTGGGAGGGACGTGGAGGAACAGGTCATTGATGCTGGTTTCTGGCCCAGATAACCGAGTGATGATAATGCTGGGAAGAGAGAGATGGGATCAGGCCTGGCAGGCGTTGGGGTGTGGTGGCTGTGACCTTCTAGACAGAGACCCTTAGAAGGTTGGGGCTCTGGAAGAGGTGAGGGCTGGAGACACTGTGTTGGTGTTTTTTGTTTTTTGTTTGGTCATGGGGCTTGAACTCTGGGCCTGGGCGCTGTCCCTCAACTCTTCAGTTCAAGACGAGCGCTCTACTGCTTGAGCCACAGCACCACTTCTGGTTTTCTGGAGGTTTATTGGAGATAAGAGTCTCTTGGACTTTCTTGCCCAGGCTGGCTCTGAACCACGATCCTCAGATCTCAGCCTCCTGAGTAGCTAGAATTACAGGTGTGAGCCACCAGTGCCCGGCAGGATCATGTTTTCTGATCTAGGCAGTTGCTTTACATCTTTTGTTGTTTTTACTATAAAGGTGATGTACAGGGCTAGGAAAGTAGCTCAGTGGTAGAGCGCTTGCCTTGTATGCATGAACCCCTGGGTTCCATTCCTCAGCACACATAAGCAGAAAAAAAAGGAAGTAGTGCTGTGGCTCAAGTGGTAGAGCAGCCTAGAGCTGAAGAGCTGAGGGACAGCGCCCAGGCCCAGAGTTCAGGCCCCATGACCGACAAAAAAAGTGATATACCGAGGGGTTACAGTTTCATAAGTAATGAGTACATTTCTTTTTCTTTTCTTTTCTTGCCCTTTCTTTCTTTCTTTCTTTCTTTCTTTCTTTCTTTGTCGTGGGCCTTGAACTCAGCCTGGGCGCTGTCCCTCAGCTCTTCAGCTCAAGGCAAGCGCTCTACTGCTTGAGCCACAGCGCCACTTCCAGTTTTCCAGTGGTTTACTGCAGATAAGAGTTTCACAGAAAAAAAAAAAAAAAGAGTTTCACAGACTTTCCTGCCCGGGCTGGCTTTGAACCATAATCCTCAGATCTCAGCTTCCTGAATACCTAGGATTACAGGTGTGAGCCACCGGTGCCCGGCTTAGAGACTCTGTGAAACCATTTGTCTGTTGTAGGATGGTCCCTGTGCATGTGATTATGGTATGGTTGGTTACATGTGCAATCTCTGCATCCTGCAAGTTGGGGATCTTCATTCCTGGGGTCAGCCCAGGAATGTGAACAGGGATCTCTGGAGTCAGAGGGCAACAACCTGAGCCTGAGCTATCTTTGTTTTATTTATTTGTTTGTTTGTTTTTTAATGCCAGTCCTGGGGCTTAAACTAGGGCCCTGGGCACTGTCCCTCAGCTTTTCGGCTCAATGCGAGTGCTCTACTACTAGAACCACAGTGCCACTTCTGGCTTTTTCTGTTTATGTGGTGCTTCGGAATTGAGCCCAGGGCTTCATGTATGCTAGGCGAGCACTCTACCACTTAGCTACATTCCCAGCCTTTCATTCACTTTAAGCTTATGTCCAGCCCAGCGTGGCTTGTTCAGCTTTGCATGAACTGCCACTGACTGTTCAGTACAAAGAGAGACCAAGAGTCTGAGGTAGAACCTATGGGACTTGCGCTTGCTCATGCTCATAATCATGTATGTGGGGAAGCAGGGATCTGTGCTTAAGTTTCTTTTTGAGGGTCCCCACAAAGGCAAAAGCAAAGTTGTTCTTTATGACCTGCAACTCCAGACATTCTGACCTTTCCCGAGCTGAGTTGTTTGGAATCATAGATGTGTTCAGCCTGTGCCAGCTCATGTGACTTGATTCCCTTGGGAAAGCTCCCATGGCTCTTTGGCCATTGCTCAGGGACTGTCTCTGCGAACCTCTGCTGAAAAGTAGGAGAGTCATACTTTTGTCACTGGGATGCCGGGGGCCATCTTGCTCTGGGATGAAGCTCCAGTGTGAGGAAGCCCAGTGACACAGCGCCACGTGGCTAATGTTGAGAACTCATGTTCTCAGTGGGTGGTGCCTGACCACATCACCCTGGCTCATCAGCCCAGGTTCTTGCTGGTGGCTCTGGAAGTTGGCTCTTTTCTGTGCAGTACCACCCCATGCCAAGGTGGGGTGGGGTGGGACAGCTTGAGACCATGTATGTTTGAACTTCCAGGCTGGCTTATTGTTCCCTGTGGGCTATGGTATGTGTGGAACTGAAACAGAGCCTAGCAGGAATTACTAAATGTGCGACCAAGAGAATTAATCTTCATTTCATGTCATGTTAACTATGAGCTGGGTATAGAGGCACATATATGTAATCTTAGCACTCAAGAGGCTGAAGTGAGAGAAGCAGAAATTTGAGGCCAGGTTGGGCTACATAAAAAGACCTTCTAAGGAAAAAAGACCTCTTCTACCAACCTCCCATTAGATTTATTTTTGCTTTTAAAATTTACCTACTCCTGCAAGTGGCGCTGTGGCTCAAGTGTGCTGCACAGGTGACCACGCCTGTAATCCTAGCTGAGATAGGAGGATCACAGTTTGAAGCCAGCCTGGGAAGGAAAGCCCATAGATTTTTTTTTTTTTTTTTTTTTGTCGGTTGTGGGGCTTGAATTCTGGGCCTGAGTGCTGTTCCTCCCTCAGCTCTTCAGCTCAAGGCAAGCACTCTACCACTTGAGCTAGGGCGCCACTTCCAGTATTCTGGTGGTTTATTGGAGATAAGAGTTTCACGGACTTTCCTGCCCGGGCTGGCTTTGAACCGTGATCCTCAGATCTCAGCCTCCTGAGTAGCTAGGATTACAGGCGTGAGCCACCAGCGCCCGGCTGTCCATAAGATTCTTGTCTCCAGTTAACCACCAGAAAACTAGAAGTGGAGCTGTGGCGCAGTGGTAGAGTGTTAGCCTTGAGCAAAAAAGTTCAGGGACAGTGTCCAGGCCCTGAGTTCAAGGCCTGTGACTGACAGAAAAAAATACATATGCATACATGTACAAGTGCACATTCTTGCACTAGTACTGTGAAAAGTACTTGGCCATTCAGACACATACAAACCACTTCTCAGACTGCCACTGGTGCCATTTTCCAGCACGCAGAATAGTTCTTGTTCTTATCACATTGGATGCACTTGGAGCTTATTGTGGGTCTGTCTTTATTCCAGGTGCTGATCATTAGCACTTACAGATGGTAGTACAGGCCCAGGGAGCTGTGTAGTAAGTGGCTCTAGTGTTGAGTCCTTAGCAAGCCACAGCACCACACTCCCTGTCTGCTTTGGAAAGAGCAGTACAGATCTCACGCATCCTAAGAATGGTCAGCTCAGTCCCTATATGTCTCTTGACTATCTTTTCTAAGAATTCCTGTGTATTTTCCCTTTTTGTTGCTTAAAACATCTTAATGGTACACAGCCTTTGCATATTATTAGGCAAATCAGCTTTTTGTGTGTGTGCCAGTCCTGGGGCTTGAACTTGGCCTGAGCTCTGTCCCTGAGCTTTTGTGTTCAAGGCTAGTACTCTGCCACTTGACCCACAGCTCCACTTCTGGCTTTTTGGTGGTTGATTGAAGAGTCTCATAGACTTTCCTGCCCCTGCTGGCTTCAAACCATGATCTTCAGATCTCAGCCTAGCCACCAGCATTCCAGTGCTGTACCAATTTACCTTCCCACCGACAGCTTGTGCAAGGGTTCCCTTTTCTCCAGTAGTTGTTGTCTTTCTATTTAGGTGATAGCTCCTTCCTTCCTTTCTTCCTTCTTTGCTTCCTAACTTTTCTTCCTCCCTTTTTTTCTAATTGTTAGAATTACAAGTGTGAACTATCATGTCTAGCTGGATGGCCTTTTTGATTTTCCATATATCTAGGAAATCTCTTTTGGGTACTCCAGTTCCCTTTTATCAAGTCGCTTTTATCCCTGCACATACACGGAATATATGTTTACATGGTATGTTCATTTTCAGATATCATTTTGGTGAAGTCTTTAGTTGACATTATAGCTATCATCAAGGCACAAACTCTTGAATGGGGGTCACAAGAGGCCTTTGAGCTTCACAGGGTATTTCCTGTGTGTGTGTCTATTGTGTGTACCTGTGTGTGTTGTGGGGGGGCAGAAGCTCATAGGAGATGAGAAGCTCTTGGATTTTTCTGCCTGGAGTAGCTTGGATCTTTGATCCTTAGATTTTAGCTTCCTGAATAACTAGGATTACAGGTATGAGCTACCCAGTTCCTGACTCCCTTGTAGTTTTAGTGTGCATTTTTATTTTTCTTGATTAGTGATGTTGGACTTTTTTTTTTTTGGGTCTGGTTGTGGGGCCTGAACTCTGGGCCTAGGCGCTGTCCCTCAGCTCTTCAGCTCAAGGCTAGCGCTCTACCACTTGAGCTACAGCGCCACTTCCAGCCTTTTTTTCCTGCTTATGTGGTGCTGAGGAATCGAACCCAGGGCCTCATGCATGCAAGGCAAGCACTCTACCACTGAGCCACCTTCCCAGCCCCTGATGTTGGACTTTTTATTCATATACCTATTGGACTTTGATCTCTCTCTCTCTCTCTCTCTCTTTTTTTTTTTGCCAGTCGTTGGGCTTGAATACAGGGCCTGTGCACTGTCCCTGAACTTCTTTTGCTCAAGGCTAGCACTCTACCCCTTGAGCCACAGCACCGTTTCTGGCTTTTTCTGTTTATATAGTACTGAGGAATGGAATCCAGGGCTTCATGCATGCCGGGAAAGCATTTTGAGTAGCTAGGATTACAGGCATGAGCCACTGCACTGGACTGGATTTATCTTCCGCCTCCTGTTCCCCTCCTCCCCTCTCCTTCCCTCCCCCCTCTTACCCTCCTCTCCCTCCCCCTTCTTCTCCCTTCCTCTTCTTCCTCTTCCCCCTTCCTCCTCCTCCTCTTCCTCTTCCTCTACTTCCTCTTCTTCCTCCTCGTCCTGGGGCTTGAACTAAGGGCCTGGACTTTGAGCCTGTGTGCTCAAGGCTAGCGCTCTACCACTTGAGCCACAGCGCCACTTCCGGCTTTTTTCTTTTTGCTTATGTGGTGCTGAGGAATTGAACCCAAGGCCTCAGGCATGCAAGGCAAGCTTTGTACCACTGAGCCACTTTCCCAGCCCCACATCTAGATTTTTCTGAGTATTTTATTGGATATAAGAGTCTCATGGAAGCTGGGTGCTGGTGGCTCACGCCTGTAATCCTAGCTACTCAGGAGGCTGAGATCTGAGGATCACAATTCAAAGCCAGCTCTGGCAGGAAAGTCCGTGAGACTCTTGTCTCCAATAAACCAGTAGAAAACCAGAAGTGGCGCTGTGGCTCAAGCGGTAGAGTGCTTGCCTTGAGCTGAAGAGCGAGGGACAGCGCCAAAGCCCAGAGTTCAAGCCTCATGACTGACCCCCCCCCAAAAAAAGTCTCATGGACTTTCTTGCCCAGGTGCTTTGAATTGGGGTCCTCAGATCTCAACCTGAGTGGTCAGGATTATAGGTGTGAGCCACTGGTGCCTGGTTAGTGCTTATTCCCTTGTTATTTCATCAGAGGTTAGATCAAGAGGGTAAAAGGGTAAATGCTTTGGATCAACTTGCGTGCATGTGTGTGTGTTTGTGTGTATGTGTGTGTGTATTGCTACTGGAACTTGAACTCAGAGCCTAGTCACTGTCCCTTAGCTTTTTGCCACACATCTACTTTCTTCTGTGTCTCTTCTCTCCCCCACCCCACCCCCGCCCCCAGGTCTGGGGCTAGAACTTAGGACCTTTTTTTGGGGGGGGGTCAGTTGGGGGGCCTGAACTCTGGGCCTGCGCACTGTCCCTGAGCTCTTCAGCTCAAGGCTAGCGCTCTACCACTTGAGCCACAGTGCTACTTCTGGCTTTTTCTGCTTCTGTGGTGCTAAGGAATGGAACCCAGGGGCTCATGCATGCAAGGCAAACACTCGATATCACTCATCTACATTCCCAGTCGCATGGGGGATATCTTGATGTTGTTCCTGGTCAGGAGCTGATCATGGCATCTTGTCTTCATTTTTCCCTGGCATAAGTTAGGCAGGAGTGATGGGTAGGAGGTGATCGGGGTGGAAGAGGCTGGTGGAATCATCAGAGAACAGAGGATATGCGCATTATAGTGAAGCTAGCTGCTATGCCAGAGTGGGGCAGTGGACTGTCCAACCTTCCAGTTCCTTGGAGAACATGACCTAGGACTTGAATGTGATACTGTGTGGAGATGAGGCCTTCTGTATTCAAAGGACTTTGTTCTCTGGGACCATACATGTAAGTGGTACGCAGAGGCACATAATGTGTGCAAGGTATGGTACCTTCTGCTTATCTCCTTAGAGTGAAAGGGAAGGTGCTTTAGGTGGAAGAGCTGCCATGCTAGCCAGGACTCAGAGTGTGTAGGTGCCACCATGTGCCAGTCCTGGATATACTGTCCGCTGACACCTTGCTGGTGGAGGTTGCCAGTTCAGCAATGAAGGGGCACTGGGAGCTATCAGGGATTGTGGGCCTTCCTTTCACGCTGAATGGCACAGAAACTGTGGCAGAGCTATTTCGTGGGACAAATTTGTTTAAATTACGTGTTTTGCTCAAGAACTTAGGTATTGTGGAGGCTTTTGAGTTAAATCCTGTGTTTGTTATATCAGGTTGGAGAGGACACTGCACAAGTTCACACTGGGCAAGCAGAAGCTGAGACCACGGAAATGACAGAATCCTATGTGAAGAGTGAGTGTGACGCGCTTGTGGGCTGGGGAGAGCGTCTGCCTTCTGGCTGCTGGGCAGTGAGGCTCTCATTGGGCTTGACTCTCATCAAGGGAGGTGGGTGGTGTGGCAAGGTTGGGCACCATTGAACAGGTGTGGGGTTCACTTGCTGGTACTGAATTTGAAACCCACATAAGTATATGGCATTCAGAAATGTGGTTTGCAAAAAATCACCATTGAATAAGTATGCTTTCTCCAAGTTTTTATTAAGAGAGAAAGTAAATTAATTTTCCTAGTCTTTTGCACTGCTATAACAAAGTATCTTATGGTGGGTAATTTATAAGCAATAGCAATTTGTTCTTACAGTGTAGAAACTGGGATTCTCCAGGTCAAAGCCCAGCAGAACTATCCTCTGGTGAGGCCTGGGTTCTACTTTGTAGATGGTTATTCTGTGCCCGCCTCATGGAAGGGGATGGCGGACTAAGGCACCCACTGAGCCCTTTTTTCCTTTTCGTGCTAATACTAGGGCTTGAACTCAGGCCTGAGCATTGGGGAATATCCCAACTTCCTGGGGCCGGTGAGACTCAAACCCACAACTGGTGAAAGGAGTCACCAGCACTCAGTCAAACTGGCTGGAAGCCTTTTATTAGCCACATGGCGTCTGTCCCCAGCTCGCAGGGCTTCGGAGAACAGCCCCATTTGCTTTTCATGGGGGATTTTTATAGGAAAGGGTTTCACATAGGTGATGTTTTCCAGAGCAAGCAAGCAAGGCTACAGGTGCAAAACAGCCTTGAGTTGCAAAAAGCATAGGCAAAACATAATCTTGACTTGGGTAGCATGACTAATACTGTCTATGCTATTGATACTACTGATCCTTGATTACAAAAAGTAAAAACATATGCTTGGATTACTAAAGCCAAAACATAACCATAGGTGGGGATACTCTATTTTATTTTATTATTATTATTATTTGCAGAGACTATGGCCATTTATTGATACTCTATTTTACAGAGATTATTTGTATTTTATTTATTTTTGTCACTTGTGGGGCCTGAACTCTGGGCCTGGGCCCTGTCCCTCAGCTCTTTTTTTTTTTAATTTAATTTTATTTTATTTGTGAACATACTGTACAGAGGGGTTTCAATTGCATGGGCAGGATAATGCGTACATTTCTTACCAAGCATTGCAGCCTCCTCCTTTGTTTACTGTCCCTCAGCTCTTCAGCTCAAGGCTAGCGCTCTACCACTTGAGCCACAGCACCACTTCCGGCTTTTTTCTTTTTGTTTATGTGGTGCTGAGGAATCGAACCCAGGGCCTTATGCATGCAAGGCAAGCGCTCTGCCACTGAGCCACTTTCCCAGCCCTCAGAAACAATTTTTATTATAAGCTCCTGACTAATACAGCAACTCAGTACAGCTGGTGATAAGCCTCAAGGTTGTCAGTGGTAAATTGCAAAGTTTGTGGTAAATTGCAAAGCTGCTAGCTTGGTAAACTTGAATGAGGGAGAGATTTTCTTTTGCTTTTTAGCAAGGATGGAAAAAGGCTTGGGCTGACTACTGGCCATTTAGCCTGAAGTTTCTCTCTACAGAGGTGTTTTGCCTTTAGTATTTGGCCCCATTTTTAATAATTTTGTTCTGTTTCTGATTTTACATGTTACATATTGGTCCCTTAGTTTTTTCACTCAAGGCTGGTCCTGTATCCCCTGAGCCATAGCTCCACTTCCAGCTTTTTGGTGGTTAATTGGAGATAAGTCTCATAGACTTTCCTACTCTGGCTGGTTTTGAACCACAATCCTAAGATCTCAGCATCCTGAATAGTGTAAACCATCAGTGCCAGACTCCGTTCAGACCTTTTTACAAGGCACTAATGACATCCTCTTTCATGATCACCACCACCCCAAAGTCTCTTTTTTCAAAACCACTGCTCTGGGGCTTAAGTCACACATAAGTTTTGTCAGGATCGCATATCAGGGCTGCTGCAGTAGCAGCCATGGGAACAGTGGGTTGAAGCCATAGGTTTAATGAAGAACTCCTGGATGCTTGGGCCTTTATCTCTTTCTACAGAAGCCCTGGTATAGATCCAGCCTCCTCAGCCAGGGCCAGAAGTTAATTGAGAGCCAGTTCTGCTCTGTCCCTGAGCTTTCACCAAGTGGCCATTCTTGGTCCTGTCCTCTGAGCTTGGGGGATGCTAGAGGCCTGGAAGGGAATGGAGACCTGGGCAGGTGGAGATTGGCAGTGAAGAATTAAGGAACAGATGTGGTCCATTGGCCAGCAGGGGCAGGGTAGGGCAGGGTACGAGCAAAGCTGGGAGGAGGGAGGAGGCACATGTGTACTTGCCATCCATAGCACGGACCTCTCATGCCTCCAGAAGCCAGGCGAGAGGGGTTCCTGTGGAAGAACAAGTGCAGGTGTTTTGTAGAAGTGCCAAGTTTAGTTTACTGGGAGGAGCTTGGCCTTAGAAACATCCAGATTTTACTAATTGGATCAGACTGCTTGTATAACTATTGAACCATGGGGCTGGGGAGAGCCTGGGAGAAGTGCTGTTAAAAGTTCACCTTGGGGCCGGGGGCCAGTGGCTCATGCCTGTAATCCTAGCTACTCAGGAGGCTGAGATCTGAGGATCACGGTTCAAAGCCAGCCCAGGCAGGAAAGTCCTTGAGACTCTTCTCTCCAATAAACCACCAGAAAACCGGAAGTGGCACTGTGGCTCAAGCGGTAGAGCGCTCGCCTTGAGCTGAAGAGCTGAGGGATAGCACCTAGGGCCATAGTTCAAGCCCCAGGACTGACAAAACAAAAGTTCAACTTAGGGGCTGGGAAGGTGGCTCAGTGGTAGAACGCTTGTCTTGTATGCATGAGGCCCTGGGTTCAATTCCTCAGCACCACATAAGCAGAAAAAGCTGGAAGTGGCGCTATGGCTTAAGTGGTAGAGAGCTTGCCTTGAGCTAAAGAGCTAAGGGACAGCGCCCAGACCCAGAGTTCAGGCCCCATGACCAACAAAAAAAAGAAAGAAAGAAAGAAAGAAAAAGCTCACATTGGCCTGGTGTTGGTGGCTCACACTTGTAATTCTACCTATTTACAAGAGGCTAAGATCAGAGGATTATTTTTCAGAGCCATCCCAGGCAGACAAATCTATGAGACTCTTTTTGCCAATTAACCAGAAAAAAAAAGGCCCAAACAAATACACCTGGAAGTGGAGTTATGACTCAAGTGATAGACCACCAGCCTTAAGTGAAAAAGCTAAGCGGGGGGGGGGGGGGGGACTTACCTTGGCAGGCCCTGGTGGCTCCACTCAGCTTCCCTTGCTGTTTAGAAGGAATCCCTTTCCAAATAGGAGATGAGCTATGATCTGGTGCCTTTTTGTCCTGCTGCCTTTGGTAGATGGCCTCCTTAGGGGTATATGGTATGGTGTCTATTGATGCAGAAAATCTTGTGGTGGGCATTGTTTTGCACGTTTCCTGAATTCTCATCCTGCCTTTTCTAAGTACATGGCTTGATAATCACTTGACTGTTTACAAAGCTGCACGTTCATTCCTTCATTCCTTAATTCACATCTTGTTCTGCTACGTGGCATGCTGGGGGTAGGGGTTGTGGCTCTCCCACTCTCCCCTTTGGTCATGGTGCTGGAACCAGGGCCAGGGCGCTGTCCCTCAGCTCTTTTGCTCAAGGTAGTGCTCTATCACTTGAGCTATAGCACCACTTCTGGTGTTCCAGAGGTTAATTGGAGATAACTCTCGTGGACCTTTCTGCCTGGCCTGGCTTTGAACTGTGATCCTTAGATCTCACCCCTTGAGTAGTTAGAATTATAGGTGTGGGCTACCAGTGCATGGCTTTTTTTTTGGGGGGGGGAGAAGTGGAGGGGGCTGTGGTTATGGCTTTATTGCTCACTTCTGGTGTTCCTGTCCCTTTGCCTGCCTAGATACTACACATAGGAGTTGGATTATAGAGAATCCAGCCTGCTCTGAGCACAGAGCTTCAGGGAACATTCCCAAAGAGATACATCTGTGCAGGTTCTTGGTGAAGCTTGGTGGGTCTGGCCAGTCCTGGCAGATGACCTGATGGTCTCATGATCATGGCTTAGACAGTCTTGTGAGTGTTCATGCAGGAGGTGAACCTTGTTGTCTTTGACAGGGCCTGATGGCCTTAACTGTATATCCTGGGACCTCAGTTTCTCAGTAGCAGCCAGAATGGGGTGGGGCATGGTCAATACATCCAAAGGGAGGGGCTTACACGAGAGAAGGCTGCAGTAGGTCAACATGCTGAGGCCATTGTGCAGGGTGGTCAGGGCCACTGGGCCCTGAGGCTTGGTGGATGTTGGAGGCTGCCATCTCCTGTGCTGAGTCTGTGACTCCACCAGTTGATGGGATGACTGCTGGAGTGTGTCATGAAGGGTTCAGCTCTAAGGACTCTGACTGGGCTTTGTCGCTGCAGAGCTGTCCTTCACCCTGCTGGATGCCATCACTGACAAGGACCCTGTGGTACAGGAGCAGGTCTGCAGCTCTCTCTGCTCCCTCGGAGAGGCACAGCCAGGGGAGATGCTCCATGCTTGTGAGAAATACCTGCGGCAGCATGATAAGGTACCTCTCTCCTTTGTGACAGGAATCCTGGGAGCAGTCTTATCCGGAAGAGTTGAAAGAGTTGGAGAGTAGAGGGTTGGGTGCCTACTTGAACTGTTAGCAGAGCCGTCCCTTGAGGCCAGATGCTTGAGGGTGATGATAACGGGTGTGGCTGAGTCCCTCCCGAGCTGGTAAGCCCAGCCTGAAGGGAGCAGGGACTCAGTCCGGGACTGAGGAGAGGTCATTTGCTGGCTCTTTTCCCACTGAATGGCAATGGGGCTGCTCCTCTGTGTTTGATCAGCAGCTCAGGTGCCCTGAGCTTTTACCAAGGCCCAGAAGGGCCTTAGAGGTAAAGAGCTCACCTGCCATCCCCTACCATAGAGCTGTTTTCAGAGGGAAAGGCCCATGCTGCTCTGGAGTAATAGACCATCCCTTACACAAACATAGGAAACTTGGCAGAGGCCTGAGAGACTTGAATTTCTCTTTTTGGCCTTGTAGAATATCAAATCACTGGCTCAATCCACTCTCAATGTCATGTTCTTTGTTCTTGTTTTGTTTTGAGATAAGGTCTCACTATTGTAGCCTAGGCTGGTTATAATCCTTCTTCCTCAGCTTCCTGAATACTGGGATTACAGGCATGGACCACCATGCTCACCTACCTCACTAGCTTTCTGTCCTGTACTAGCCCTTGCATAAAGCTTCACTGTGACTACCCATTGTTCTGGCTCTCTGCTGTCTGTCTGAAATTTTATTTTATGTATGTATGTATGTATGTTGGTTGGTTGGTTGTGGGGCTTGAACTCTGGGCCTGGGCGCTGTCCCTGAGTTCTTCACCTCAAGGCTAGTGCTCTACCACTTGAGCCACAGCACCACTTCCTGTTTTCTGGTGGTTTATTAGAGATAGGAGTCTCATAGACTTTCCTGCCTAGGCTGACTTTGAACCGTGATCCTCAGATCTCAGCCTCCTGAGTAGCTAGGATTACAGGCGTGAGCACCTGGCTGGACTTTTTTTTCTTTTTGGCTGGTCCTGGAGCTTGAACTCAGGGCCTAGGCACTGTCCCTGAGCCTCTTTGTGCTGAAGGCTAACACTCTACTACTTGAGCTATAGCCACACTTTTTCTGAGTAGTTTATTGGAGATAAGGGTCTCAGACTTTTCTACTCAGGCTGGCTTTGAACTGTGATCCTGAGTAGCTAGAATTACAAGGTGTGAGCACCAGTGCCTAGCTTACTACTTTGTTTAGTTTCTTTTTTTTGGGGGGGGTCTGGTCGTGGGGCTTGAACTCTGGGCCTGGGCGCTGTCCCTCAGCTCTTCAGCTCAAGGCTAGCGCTCCACCACTTGAGCCATAGCGCCACTTCCAGCTTTTTTCTTTTTGCTTATGGGGTGCTGAGGAATGGAACCCAGGGCCTCAGGCATGCAAGGCAAGCACTCTACCACCGAGCCACCTTCCCAGCCCTCTTTTTTTTTTTTAATTTAAAACTTTATGTATTTATTTTGCCAGTCCTGGGCTTAAACTCAGGGCCTGGGCACTGTTTCTGATCCTCTCTGTGCTTAAAGCTAGCGGTCTACCACTTGAACCACAGCGCCACTTCTGGCTTTTTGTATTTATGTGGTACTGAAGAATTGAACCCAGGGCTTCAGGCATGCTAGGCGAGCGCTCTACCACAAAGCCACCTTCCCAGCCCTTGTTTAGTTTCTCCACCAACATAAAAACAAGTTTCATATCCTACTGTTTACACAACTGTTGAGTTGGGAGCTCTGGTCTTGATCCCCTAGGGTCTGACCTTTCCTAGCCCTCCCATGCCGGCCCCTGCACAGGGTTCTGGGAGGACTGAGCTGAAACAGTTGCCTTGCTGCATTTCTTCCTCATTACATTTTATCTGACTGATCTTGCTAGACAGCATGCATACCTCAGATCCCCACGAAATTGCTACAGGTAATGAGGAATGTTGTACTCCTCAGCCGCCAGATGAATTTGTATTTTGGCTATACCAGAATATTTGCATTTTTTTTTTTTTTTTTGGTCAGTCGTGGGGCTTGAACTCTGGGCCTGGGCGCTGTCCCTCAGCTCTTCAGCTCAAGGCTAGCGCTCTACCACTTGAGCTACAGCGCCACTTCCGGTTTTCTGGTGGTTTATTGGAGATAAGCGTTTCACGGACTTTCCTGCCCGGGCTGGCTTTGAACCGCGATCCTCAGATCTCAGCCTCCTGAGTAGCTAGCATTACAGGCGTGAGCCACCGGCGCCCGGCTATTTGCATTATCGTATCTGGGTTATACAACGTATTTCATGGTATCAGCTCCTATCTGGAGTCTATGTATGTATGGTTCTGGGGGTGATACCCAGGAGCTAGGACTAGTTGGGTATGCTGGGCAGGCTCTCTCCCACTGAGCTGCATCCCTAGGCCAAGTACAGAGGGCATGACTGAGTGCAGAGGACACTGTGATATGGTTATGTCTGTTACACCCATCCTCCTAGTTTTCAGCATGTCCAGTCTCATACACTTCAGCCAGGGCTCAGCATGACCAGCATAGGCAAGACTCTAGAGAGTCAGGCCACAGGGAGGGAGGATTTGGCCAGAAAAGATAAAAATAGTAAAGCAAATTTTCAAATAGTTATTTTCTCTTCCTTCCCTCCCTTTAATTTTTCTCCACTTGAACCAGTCCTGTCTGGTTTTCAGTTTCTAGAGTCCCTATGTGGTACTCACAGCACACACGTGAGTATGTAGTTCGGAGTCACTCTGTGCAAGGCTGGTGATGGTAGCTGCCATAATACTGCTCATGTGAATCCAGCTAGAAGTAGAATTGATTGCAAGGGCATGTAAAGGACAACTTCAAAAATAAATGAATACTTGATAATGCTTTGGTTGGAGTAGAGACTTTATTCTGGTCCTGGGTTGTCCTGTTAGATTTAGTAATAAAAGCAATCTCAATATCCCTTCTACATTCTGCTAACATAGTACACCTCTGTGAGTAAAGGCAAGCACCAACTGGATGCCTTGCAGTTCATCTCTGACCTCCGCGTGGAGACAGCCTCAGATCCCACAGGGGAGGGATGATCACCAACACATAGCCACTTTATGTTTAAATTTAGTTAATTAATTTTTGCCAGTCCTGGGCTTAAACTCAGGGCCTGGGCACTGTCCTTGAGCTTCTTTTGCTCAAGGCTAGCATTCTACCACTTGAGCCACAGCACCACTTCTGGCTTTTTTTTGTTTATATGGTACTGAGGAATCGAACCCAGGGCTTCATGCATGCTAGGTAAGCACTCTACCACTGAGCCACATTCCCCGCTACAGAGCTACTTTATTATTTTTTTATTATTATTTTTTGGGTCCAGTCGTGGGGCCTGAACTCTGGGCCTGGGCGCTGTCCCTCAGCTCTTCAGCTCAAGGCTAGTGCTCTACCACTTGAGCCACAGCACCACTTCCGGCTTTATTCTGTTTGCTTATGTGGTGCTGAGGAATTGAACCCAGGGCCTCATGCATGCAAGGCAAGCCCTCTACCACTGAGCTACCTTCCCAGCCCACAGAGCTAGTTTAATAGCAGACTTCTAAAAAGCCTTTGCTTTTGCTTGGTCAGCTACAAATTCCCATACTTCCTTGGATTCCATTAATTTGCTAAAGCAGCTCACAAAACTGAGGACACTTCCTTGCATTTTACTAATTTTCATGGACATGACAAAGGATACTTATGGACACCACCCGCTGGTGAGACAGGAAGGTTGAGCTGTGGGAGGGAGCAGAACTCCCATGCTCTCCTTGGTGTACTTGCCTTCCACTCTCCTAAACCTTCAGAAGCTCCCAGCATTGTTGGTTTGGGGTTTTATGTAAGCTTCACTATGTGGACGTGACTGATCACATCATTGGCCATTGGTGGTCAGCTTAATTCTCAACCCCTCTGGGTTGGGTGAGGCTGCAGGTCCTCCTCTAGTCCTGCGTGGGCTTTCCTGTGGCCAAACCCAATCCCAGAGCCACATCGGGGAAACCCCAGCAGCTGTCATCTCATTAGCTTACAAAAGATTATTGGGCCGGGTGCTGGTGGCTCACGCCTGTCATCCTAGCTCCTCAGGAGGCTGAGATCTGAGAATCACGGTTCAGAGCCAGCCCAGGCAGGAAAGTCCGTGAGACTCTCATCTTCAATTAACCACTAGAAAACCAGAAGTGGCGCTGTGGCTCAAATGGTAGAGTGCTTGCCTTGAGCTGAAGAGCTGAGTGACAGTGTCCAGGCCCAGAGTTCAAGCCCCATAACGGAAAAAAAAAAAAGAAAAAGAAAAATGATTATTGGAAGAATTAAAAGATTTTAAGAGTTGTAGTTGTGTGCCAGAAAACCAGATGAAAACTATATATTTCACTCTGACACATTGTATGAGAGGTTAAAATTGGAATCCACTCAAGTAACACAAACAACCTTTGACACTCTAGTTCCTAGTCCAAGAGTGCACGGATAATCCTTGTGTGCAGGGGACAATGTGGCTACCCTGTGACCTTTGAGACATACGTGAAGGTCATTTTTAGGCTTGCACAACCATCATTTCAGCCCCTGACCACATCTGTGAGGTTTGGAGAAGGGCAGAGGTAGTTCTTTGGTGACATGCCAATCCAAGGAAATGGAGCCAGAATTTTGTGTGGAGCTACTGTGTGCCTATCCCTGCGCCCTGCACCTGTACTTGTATGAGGTAGAGGTGGCCAGCTTCCCACTGGAGTACGCCCAGGCTGTGATCACTCACTTTGCACAGAGCGTTGGGCCCTGATAGAAAATGCCCTTGGAGTGTTGGGCCTTTGACTTCAGTCCCTGTCCAACAGAGCAGCATAAAATGGAAAATAAACCTTACAAAAAATTAGCAGCTAGGGGTAATTCCACCAGGATATTTTCATTTTTTCTAGATAAGAGTTTTGCCCTGTATTTCCAAAAGTGATTACCACCCTTGTCTTCCATGAGAAGAGGTCCCCAGGGAGCCCTGCTGAGGTGCCTACCTATAGACGGGCAAAGGGTGACACATTCTGAGGTGATAAAGGCTCAGGGTGGCCGGGTGACCCTCTGTGTTTAAGGCACGCATGACCTTTGTGGCATAGTCCCTCTAAGAGAAAGTAAAAGACTCTTTTGGATTGTATGACCTTGTGGCTCAACTCTACGGCCTTCCCCGGCGGCTTCTCTCCTCAGCTGGCCCATCCTTACCGCGCAATGATCCTGAGGGCCATGGAGACAGTCCTGAGCAGCCACATCCACAAGCTGGACAAAGACACAGCCAGCACTGTCATCCTCCTGGCTTCGAGTGAGATGACCAAGACGAAGGTACGGGTCTCCAGCTGGGCAGGCTTAGTCTTGCTGTCAGAAGGGTAGTTCCTCTCCTTGCCCTCTCCCTCAGACTATCAGGAACAGAGCTTGTGTCTGCCTGGCAGAGGCTAGCAGTTTTCAGAGGCAGTAGCTGAAGCAGAGAATGAAGTGTGCAAAATCAGAGCTGAGAGCTCAGGCCAGAGGCCATGTGTAGGGCTTGGGGTATCCGAGCCCTCCCTTGGATGGGAGGCTGTGTGGCCAGCCTCCCTGACGTGCATCCATGGGATGCTGGGCCTGGGGGGGGGGGAGGGAGAAGGTAGCCTTGGCTGGCAGCTGCCAAGGGACTGTCTTGCTGGTGCCTCCTGGGAGGGTTCCGGGAAAGTTGTACCCATGATTTTTTTGGGTACAGGAACTAAGCTGTGACTGGCAACAGGCTGCAAGCAATGTCCTGGTGGCTGTGGGGAAACAGTTTGTCAACCAGGTGATGGAGGAGGTTCTCAGGAGGTTCCAGCCTGGGGTTCTGCCTCACTGCTCAGTGCTACAGACACTTGCCAGCCTCTCAGTGTCCAATGGTAGGTACCAACTTTACCCTGGCCTCCTGGTGCCCCTAGTAGGTCTGAGAGCCCCTGGGGACCAGTTGGTGGTCTTAGCATTCTGCCTCCTGCTCAGGCTGGCAGGTGTGCGGGGTGTGCGGGTGGAGCTCTAAGAGCCCTCTCCTTGTCCTGTTCTGAGGAGAGCAGAGATTGGCAGGGCCCAAGGTCCATTTGAAACCCTTCTCTTGTAGTTTTTGGCATGGTCCCCTTCCTGCCGTCTATCCTGAGCACCATGCTGCCCATGCTGGGCATGGCAAAGCAGGACGCGACGAGGGTGGTGTTCTGTTGCGGTAAGACAGTGGGACCTTTTCTGTCCCGGGGACCTCATGTGGGGGTTGTGCATGAGAAGCGCCGGTTGTGGTGGACACGGGCTATACAATGGGTACAGGAAGGCAGGTAGACAGTTGGACAGAGGATCCTTCCCTGAATGAGCCACTAACAGACTCCTAGACTGACCTGGGCCACAACTCTCCATATCTCTCCCCATTTCCAGTTGGCAAGGTGACCATTTTCTTGGTGTCTTGGAAATGTGTTATAGAAAGTCTGTCTTTACTGTCCTCTAGCCTCTAAATTGCTGTGCCCTTGAGGCTGGTATCTGTAGCCTTCTGTGTGCTGATAGAGCACATGGGCATGTCACAGTGTGGGCCCTATATCAGCAGGCAAAGAGGCCCCTGGAGGGGGGAGAGCTATACTTCTTGCTGAAAGAGGGAGCAGAAGGTTCCCAGGACGTGAGACCCTGGGCCTGCAGCAGCCTCCTAACACACCCTTTGGCTCTCCATGTCCCTGCCTTCCTTGGCAGCAGAGTTGTGGCTGTGGTACCTGGTGGAGAGATACCCCTAGGGCTCAGCTTCTTATTCACACCAAGCCCTCCAGAGCAGAGTTCTTTAGAAGGTTCCCTTTCTTGCGCTAAGCCTGAGCATCCAAGCCTACTTGGTAGGCAGCTAGATTGGGTGAGTGGAGGCTAGCCCAGACAAAAATGTTTTCAAGGCTTCATTCTGACCCATGGCTAGACACGGCGGTGTGAACTTGTCATCCTAGCAACATGCAACATGGGGGAAGTGAAACTCCTATCTTGAATGAACAGCCCACAAAATGGGCTGGTCGAGTGGCTCACGTGGTAGAGCACCTGCCTTAGAAGTGTGAGGCCCTGAATTCCAGCCCTAGTATCCTCCCCCCCCCCCACATACATACACACGCAAAAAGGTTCTCATTTTCCTGTGATGGGTGAGGCTTGGTGTCTGGGAGGGTGCCAGGAGTGCCTGAGCTTTCTGTAAGAAGGTGAGGAGAAGGCCTGGGCCGCCCCAGCCCCAGTAGCATCAGTCTGGAGTCCTGCGTCCCCGGCCCCAGTAGAGGCGCCAAGTCCTGCTGTCCCTACCTCATGGTCCTGGGGTTGTCGACCTCTCCCCTTACGGCCTTATCTTCATCTGTTCATGGCGAAAGAGGCGGAACCCTGCTTGCCTTGGGCCTGGGGTAGCCATACATGCAGACCCTGAGGACACGGATTGGGGGTTAAAGGGGCTCACCCAGGTGGGGGCCACCGAGGTGCTCTGAGGAGGACGAGGAGAAAGAGCAGGAGGAGGAGGAGGAGGAAGAGGAGGAGGAAGGGAGGAAGAAGAGGAGGAGGAGGAAGAAGAGGAGGAGGAAGGGAAGAGGAGGAGGAAGAGAAAGGAGGAGGCGGAAGGACACAGCATAAGGTACTGGCTGCTCTTCTTTGGTGTCCCTGCTAGGCAGTACTTGCTATAGGTCCTTCTGTCTGCAGCATGGAGGCAGACTGGCCTGCGAGTCGCTGTCCAGTCCTGCTTTGTGGTCACTCTTGTAGAAATGTGTGTTTTTTTTTTAAACTCTTCCATAAAGTGAGGAAAATAGGGAAAAATGTCAACCATCTGCACCAGTAAATAATAACTATTAATATCACTTTTTTTTTTTTTTGTCCCGTTGTGGGGCCTGAACTCTGGGCCTGGGCGCTGTCCCTCAGCTCTTCAGCTCAAGACTAGCATTCTACCACTTGAGCCGCAGCGCCACTTCCGGCTTTTTTCTTTTTTTGCTTATGTGGTGCTGGGGAATCGAACCTAGGGCCTCATGCATGCAAGGCAAGCACTCTACCACTGAGCTGCCTTCCCAGCCCCCACTTCCAGTTTTCTGAGTGGTTTATTGGAGATAAGAGTCTCACCGACTTTGAACTATGATCCTCAGATCTCAGCCTCCTGAGTAGCTCTGATTACAGGTGCGAGCCACGAGCCACCGGCACCTGGTGATATTTTGATTTTTTATGAGCTAAGGTCTGGTTATCTAGCTGAGGTTGAACTGGAACTTACACTCCTTCTGCCTCAGCCTCCCAGGGCAGGGATTACAGATGTGCATCAGCTCCGCAGGGCCTCTTTAGCTGCCTTCTTGTCAGTTATGCTGTCCACACAAGTGGAGCGCCTGCCCTCAGCTGCTAGAGGACACAGTAGTCCTGTTGGCTGAAGCAGTCTGCAGCCAGCATCATCCATGGTGACCAAGCATGAGACCTGGGTGGGTCAGTGAGAACAGAGGTAACTGGTTCTGGACATAAAGGGGGCTGGAGCAGAGGAGGCTGGTGATGCTGTGAAGAATAAGAGCTGGTCACACTGAGGCCAGATCGGACTGGCACAGCCAGTCTGATAATGCCACTCCACAGGCCAGACAGCCTCTGTCATCTGAGGGAAGTCTGATAGGGAAGGTGGCAGTAAAATACACAGTGGCCAGGTATACACACAGTGCAGGGAACAGAAAATGGCCAAGGGAGAACCCTGGTTAGTATCCCCAGGAGATCAAAGGAGAGAAAGCAAGAGCATGTCACTAGGAAGAAACAATATCCAGAGGATAAAGCTGTACTTTATGGAGTTAAAAACTGTAAGAGAAGTGGAAAACGGGAAGACTGGGAAGAGAAAGTTGAAGAAGCCTCTGAAAAAGTCAAGATGCAGAGTTGTAGGAACTGGAGAGGAAGAGCAAAGAGAGTTAACAGGTGAGAAGACAGTGCTTTTAGTCCCAGGCACCCAGCAACTGCACACCTGTTCTGGCATGCTGGTGAGGAGCCAGTACAGCCTGGGGTTTTGGCAGTTCCCTCTACTCAGTGGTCAGTACTGCACAGTGCCATAGGAGCCTATAAGCTAGATCATAACCACCTTACACTGTCCACCTGAGGTAGAACAAAAGCTTTTCAGAGAAGTGGAAACTCAGATGCATCTCCGTTGAGTCTTTCCTAGAGCAACTAGAGAGTGAGCTGTATTTCCCTGTCAGACTTAGAAGCAAGATGCCTGGGCATATCCAAGCCTGCATGGTGTGGGTGACTGGGGCACATAAGTGGCAGCTACTGGCAGGGCCACACAGAGGCCAGCATGAGAGAATGGATCCAGCGAAAGCACAGTTTAAAGAGTGAGTGCTTGTGAGCAGCCACCTCTGAACTGTGCTCAGGGTCGGCCAGGCCAGCGCATGTTGCCGCAAGGTTGATGACTGAGGCACCTCGCCTTGGAGCAACTATGTTACTGGGAGGGATGAAGTCCCACCCAGAAAAGGTGTGCATTGCTCTCTGAATCTGAGTGTGCAAATCTTTGATTAAAACTTGAAACTTGCAGCTAGGCACCGGTGGCTTACGCCTGTAATCCTACAGGAGGCTGAGATCTGAGAACCATGGTTCAAAGCAAGCCTGGACAGGAATATCTATGAGACTGTTGTCTCTATTTAACCACCAGAAAACTAGAAGTGGCTCAGAGTGGCAGAGGGCTAACTGTGAGCAAAACAGTTCAGAGATACTGCCCAGGCCCGGAGTTCAAGCCCCACCACTGACCAGAAAAACCTTAAAACCTGCTGAGTAGCAGTAGCTTACATCTGCAACCTTGCAACTTAGGAGGCTGAGATCCAGAGGTTTTTGGTTCAAAGCCATCTGGGGCAGAAAAGTCCATGATTATGTCTTTAAAATGAGTTAAAAAAAAAAAAAAGCAATGGAGATGTGGCTTAAGCAGTAGAGCTAGCAGCTGAGAAAGCTTGCTAAGTGAGTGTGAGGTCCTGAGTTCAAACCCCAGTATCGCAAAAAAAAATCCAAACAAAAAAACCCAGACAACTCAAAACCTAACTGGTTTGTGTGTGTGTGTGTGTGTGATTTTGTTGTGGCTAAGGGAGACCCCTGGTTAATATCCCCAGGAGATCAAAGGAGAGAAAGCAAGAGCACTTTGATTGCCTATTATTTGGAAAAGGCTTCCTGCTGCTAAGGAGCTGGTTGTGCCTGCCAGGCTACTAGGGTCCTTTGGATTGGAAAGGGAATTGTGGGGCACCAAGTTCTCCCTCCTAATTGACACCATGGTTTATTCCTGTGATAGAAGGTTCAGGCTTATCCCTCCTGCTAGACTCTGTGTGTGTGTGTGTGTGTGTGTGTGTGTGTGTGTGTGTGTGTGTGTGTGCCTGCCAGGCTACTAGGGTCCTTTGGATTGGAAAGGGAATTGTGGGGCACCAAGTTCTCCCTCCTAATTTACACCATGGTTTATTCCTGTGATAGAAGGTTCAGGCTTATCCCTCCTGCTAGACTGTGTATGTGTGTGTGTGGTCCCTGGCAGAAGCCTCACAAGGGAGCTGATTTAGAAGGTCCTACAGGGTGGCCAGTGTCCTGCTGAAGTCAGCTGAAGCAGTGGACCTGGGCCCTGGCTGAGGGAAAGCTGTCAGTCGTCATTACACACATGTCAGCCCAGTACAGAGCAGCTCTGGGAAAAACAAAACAACCAAAATGCTTGGAATGATCCAGTCTAGCATAAGACAGTAGGAGGGAGCCGGGCGCCGGTGGCTCATACTTGTAATCCTAGCTACTCAGGAGGCTGAGATCTGAGGACTGGGTTCACAGCCAGCCCGGGCAGGAAAGTCCGTGAGACTCTTATCTCCAATAAACCACCAGAAAATCAGAAGTGGAGCTGTGGCTCAAATGGTAGAGTGCTTGTCTTGAGCTGAAGAGCTGAAGAATAGCGTCTAGGCCCAGAGTTCAGGCCCCACGACTGGCAAAAAAAAAAAAAAAGACAGGAACAAACTAAGACATGAGCATGTTCTATGACAAAAGGGCCAAATGCAGGTTTCAGAACTAAACCTCCTAAAGTGTTCCATTAGAGTAAGTGGATAGTGTAGATACTAAGCAGGACCAGGCAGGGTCTTTGAGACCTGGAGGACAGACTCCAGTGGGTCTTCGGTGCTTTTGGAGTGTCCCTACAGGAAAGATGGACCCTAGTGGGTGCATATGTCTGCTCTGGTGTATTCAACAACGTGCACTCTGAAGTAGCCATGGGATGCTGTTGGATGCCATACCCCTGACCACTGACCCCTGAGCCAAGGACCTGTCCCTGGAGCCCTGAAATCCCAGGGCAGGAGGAAGCCATGAGACTGAAGAAGAGTTCACCATAAGAGCCACCATCTGTGGGGCTGGGACAGAGGCTCTCAGAGTCTTGAGCCAGTGAGATGGGGTGCATCGCAGCCTGCAGCCCACAGCCAGTGTTAGGCCTGGAGTGTGGCCTTGGAAGGAGGACCACACCATGAACTTTCCTCTGTGCATAAAAGTGTTGCCTGGCTCTAAAAAGCATCACTGCAGGGCTGGAGATGCATCTCAGCATTTCCCTTTGCCATAGGCCCTGCCAACCCAGAGCAAAAGAAGACAGTTGCCTTGTTCTTTCTGATCCGAGGATGACATCACCTGCTAGTGTTAGTGGGATAGCTTTGGATCCATGAATCAGGGCCACTTTGGCAGGACACAGGAGCCCTTGATGTTCTAGCTAGCTCCAGAATGTGAAAAACAGATGTTCCTGCCTCAGTGGTCCCCTGGGGTTCTGTGATCTCTTCCTTGATCCAGGGCCTACCCCCGCAGATCATTAGCAGATCTTCACATGAGCCAGGTCCTTGCTTGATCTGTCACATAGGCTCTGCAGAGCCTGGTGTAGGCGGCCACCGCCCAGGACTCCACTGTGCTGGTGGTGGTCTCAGGCTCCACACCCCAGCCACGTTGCCCTGCTCTGACAGTCCTGGTGGTGGTGTCGGGCCTGCTGCCTGGCTCTGTGCTCCCTGCAGCTCCTCCACACCTCAGCCTGGGGTGAACACAAAACCTTTTGGACAGTGTGTGGCTGGAGCCTGTCTGGGGGAGGGTGGGCTGATGCTACTTTGTTTTATCTGCACAGCAGAGGAGGGGGTAGAAGGCATTGCAGGAACGTTGACCTTCAACTTCCTGGGACCGTTGTAAGAAACCACAAAGGCTGGTAGCAGACGCTTCACTGTCTTAGTTCAGGAGGCCAGATGCTGATTCCTTTTGAGGGGCTCAGAAGAAGAAAATCTATTTCCTGTCTCTAACTGACTCTCTCACACACACTCTTTTTTGGTGGTGGTGGTACTGGGGCTTGCGCCTCATGCTTGCAAGGCAGTTGCTTTACCACCTGAGCCACACCCACTCTCCCACTATGCTTTTGGATTTTTTTTTTTTTCAGAGAGGTTCTCACTTTTTGCCCAAGCCAGCCTTGCATCATAATCTTCCTACTTACCTATACCTCCTGCCTAGCTGGGATTATAGGCATGAACCACTATATCTGGCCTCTCCAGACCTCTAGTGATGGTTGTGGGTCCCTCTGCTTTAGTGCATCCTCTGATCTCTGCCCCTGTTGCACATGGCTGTCCTCACCCCTTTTTTCTCCCTCCCTCCCTCCCTCCCTCCCTCCCTCTCTTCTTTCTCTCTCCCTTCCTTCCTTCCTTCCTTCCTTCCTTCCTTCCTTCCTTCCTTCCTTCCTTCCTT